TCATGCTTGCTCTCTCTCTCTCTCTCTCTATCTCAGATGAATAAATCAAATCTTTAAAAATAAATAAATAAATAAAACTACATATTAAAAGAACACACTGTATATCTGAGAATCCCAACCCAGAATGGCCATATCAAGACATATTCTAATAAAATTATCGGTCTCTAAAGGAAAAAAAAACTCTTAAGCACATAGGCAAAGAAAAAAAAAAGTACAAGGCTTATAAGGAAAATTCAATTATCAGCCTTGTTGTTAGCAACACCATGCCAGAACAAGATGGACTCACATGTTAAGACACCCATAGAAAACAAAAACAAAAATTTCAAAAACACGAGCCAAGGATTTTATTTCCAAAAAGCAAACTTCCAGTAATAAAGGCTGGAGACATACACTTGAGAACTCAGGGAGTGCTGTTCCCATGGGCCCCGCGGAGGACTCTTGAAGAACACGCTTCCAACAGCCAGAACAACAGGAGTTGCCAGCATTAATCTGGCAGTCTGCAGGCCAGAAGCTCCAAGTGCCCCACCTGAAGCAGGGTGCTACAGGCCAGGAGCTCTGCACCCCAGCACTGCTGTGTGTCCCCATCAAACGCCATCTCATTGGCAGCTAAAAAGTATCTAGACATCAGCCAACCCACAGGTCCTCGTGACACAGGGCACTTAGCTGGTTTTCAGCAACACTAGGAAATGTTGTAATTGGCTGGTTATGCCTACGAAAGCCAGCCCTCTTCCAAGAAAACTAAAAGTCTATTTATGCCATCAAAGAATTACGTAAGGAAACAAAGTGACTTACAACAACAAAAAGAAAACCCATATGAAAACTTGTTTCCTGGGGCGCCTGGCTGGCTCAGTCAGCAGAGCAGGCGACTCTCGATCCCAGAGTCGTGAATTCAAGTCCCATACTGGGTATGGAGATTACTTTAAAAAATTAATTTAATTAAAAAAAAGAAAATTTGTTTCTTTAACTGTCACTTGAAATATGTAAACCTGTTATTTCCATTGAAGAATTGAGTTTTGATGTAGAAAAAAGCCCTCATGGGGACGTGGGAGACTGACCCCAAAGCCTTGGAGCAGGAAAAAGCACATTCTTCAAAGTTACAGCAAAGTTCAATTTGCTGTAAGAGCAAATTGATAAGTTCAACTATATTTCACAAAAAACTTCCGCATGACCAAAACAAGCCAACAGAAACATCAAAAGATGCGTGACGAATTGGGGAAAATATTTTTGTTCATATCATAGACAAAGAGCCAAGAGAAACTAGTAAAAGACTAATAACTCAGCAGAAAATGGGCAAAGCATAGGAACACAAAGGTCACAAAAAAAGGAAAATTCAAATGGCTCCTAAACAGAAAAGATTTTCAACCTCTCTCAAAATAAGAGAAGTGCAGGGGCGCCTGGGTGGCTCAGTCGTTAAGCGTCTGCCTTCGGCTCAGGTCGTGGTCCCAGGGTCCTGGGATCGAGCCCCGCCTCAGGCTCCCTGCTCAGCGGGAAGCCTGCTTCTCCCTCTCCCTCTCCCCCTGCTTGTGTTCCCTCTCTCGCTGTGTCTCTCTCTGTCAAATAAATAAA